CCCTGATGGCTTTCTGTGGTTTTCTTTGCTGCAGGTTTTCGAACAACTGAAAGAAGACACGTTCACAAGTTATAATTAACAAGTTATAAGTCGAAATGGAAAGACAAATATAATTTGGAGAGTGAACGTACATTTCTTTATTTTGTCAAGGACCAGAATGAAGGACTTCTGGAGTTCGTCCACGAAATCTTTTTCATCGAAGAACTCTTCAGCATAATAACTCTTCCACCAGTCTTCAAAAGATGGTAACAGAGGAAGTTGAGTTGATAATCGAACAGTGAGAGTACTGTCCGACCAGCATACCTGCCAATGTGCTTGGTAGCAGCATCCTCAGTGTAATCATTGCAAAAATACAACATTGATTTCTCCCTAGGGAAAATGGGAGAAGGAAGTGATTGAATGATACCAAACTGTCGAGAGACCAAATTTGGCTGATAAGCGATCAGGCTCAGGTGATTCTTGGAACTCTTAAAGCGCAGTGGCATTATTCTGGGAGTGAGAAATGCTTCCCACAGTGTTGTGTGTTCTTCGAGATGAGGGTCACCTGATGACTTGGGATGGGGCCTGGTGAACCATTCTGGACCAAACTTTCGACGGGCGAAAGGAGCCATGGTCGAGGTGAATTCTTTTCTTCCTGCAAACATCAAAACGAAGTTTGTAAAGGTCTGTTGGAGTTCCAGCCCATCCTCAGTGGGAGTCAGTAAAGCCATCCTGGTGCCTTCGATACGCCTTTTGGCTATCTCAGGAGCTTGTTCGTTTATCTGAGTCTTCTGAGGTAAGAAAGACTCAAAAGTGGCATTTAGCCATAGTTGTAGTAGCCAGAAGGGTCCTGCAAGCAGCAAACTGGCTCTATTTTCTATTACCTTTAACAGAGTCGCTCCACTGCTTATCCACTCATACAGGTTCGCCAGTATTAATTCGGCCAAACAGATGTTTTGACCATGGTGAAGCTGGGTAGCAAAGGTGACCATTTTCTTCGTCACCTGTAGAGACTTCGTGCAGAACACGAAGCGTGACAGCCAAAGGGCTAGAAACGCAATGTGCTCCACGTCCGTCACATTAGCTGTCGACCTGTCATGATAGTGGTTGATGTAGGTGGTGTAAGTGGGTTTGGTAGCTGAAAACCCAATCTGGTCTTCAGACATTTCCTCTGGGTCGAAGTAATCCCCAGTTGGTCGAAGACCGGTGATGGCAGCCACGTCAAAGAGAGTGGGTGTTATCATTCCACAAGGCATGTGGAAGGTGAAGTGAGTATAGTCCCAAAATAACAAAGAGGCTACCAGCATTTCAGGGGAGTAGTTGAGACCAGTCTTCGACAGCATGACTAGGTCATAAATCCCCAGGTTCTTCCAAATCGAAGCCTGGCTTTTTTCCATCTTGTCTAGCCAAGCGCTGTAGTCTGGTGTAAGGCTAGGGCTAGACCTAAAATCCCTAACCCCTCTGTTGAAGAAACGAAGATCTATCTTTTCTTTTGCAGGATCTTCATTGTCATCTGCAGCCTTTTTGGAGCACCCAACAGGTTTGAGTGCCTCAAGCACCGGGAAGAAGCTCTTGATCTTCGTGGAGTCAGCAATGCATGTAGATAAAGGGCCAGACATGGCGAAAACCTGGTTGGAGTATCCAACCGGAATCAGCAGTTGAGAAGAATAAGCCTCACGCTCAGCAGTTCCCAAGGGTTCAGGAACCCTTCGCATGCCTTTGGAGTTAACTGTTGGAACAGTTGAGAAGATTTTTGGTTGGGCAGTTTTAGAAGGAATGTTAGAACTGGGAGCATTGGAAGAACGAGAACCTGAAGCCATTTTTGAGTTGAGATGAAGATGGATGAAGAACAAAGTGTTTGCAGAAGTTTCTGTTCAATAATAAGGCTTGGATGAAGAATAGCGTGAAAAGTCCCACAAGGGGCACTTAGCGCTATTTATAATGATTGGAAAATCACAAAACTCGAGGTCATTTAATGTTTCAGACAATAGTGGGGCACGTGGCGCTCATTTGCTGACATAGCCGTTCTGCAGAACGGAAACGGTGCAGCGTGCATCCTCGATTTTGGGAAATTGTCATGATGACAATCTGTGAAATGACATTGGGCACGCCAAACGCCTTACTGAAGTGACGTCTTAGAAACAGTTGGAATGATGGCTTTTTGGGATTGTCAGTTGGTTGGTAGGAGACGAAAAGCGCACGAGTTAATCTGTGGCTAAGAATGAAAGACAGGTGTCGGGTGGAATCTCAAAGAATGCCTTTTTCTTTTCAGCGTCGAAATAAGGCATTCTTGGGGGGCAATTTGTTGGCTCCTAAATTCGACACCCTTGTTTTTTATTAATATAGACCATTAATCATAAGGAATGGTTTCGACCAGCTGATCCTGTCGAATGCTCATCAGAAGGTGGCAAGGTACTTAGAGAATTTCTTTTAAGTGGGAATCTTGTTGCCTTCGACGTCGAAGGAGCTTCTCGACAAAGGTATTTGATGCTCAGAGTGGAACGGTTTGAGATTCGAATGTTTGGAGGGAAAACGGTTCCCAGCAGTTACCAAGTGCAACGTGCCAAGATCAGGAGCGTCGAATGCTGTGAGCATGCCAACTGGTGTCATCTCGAAGCAGCGTAACTGCCCAACGGTTACTTGAGATGTGTTTAGTATAAATACTAGTTGTTCACGTAGTTTTCGCGTGTGTTCATCATTATATACAAGTCACTCATTTAGATTCAAGTACCCAGTGTGAGCGAAAGAATTGTTGAGAATGTATGTGTGAAACACCATTTAAATTAATCAAAGTCTTTTATATTCCAGCACTTTATTGCCTTTTCATTTACCCTTCTCTGTCGAAGCCTTTATTTAACGCTTTCATTTATTCTATCAAGCTTTTCTTCATGCAATTTACATAAAGTGTCTTTACTTTCCTGGCATTAACCATCATTAGACTTAGTCAAACCCCAAAAAATCAACCATGTCTTAGGATCAATCTGATCGATCCTGCGAGTCACCAAATAAGTAACCTTTTGGAGGATCAGCGGTTGTTTACCAATTTCCACGGTAAACAGACACACTGGTCAGATGTTACGGTGGAAATCATGTCTCTGAAGGTGGACCTTCTGAAGGAGGAGCTTCTAAAGGTAATCCAGCCTTTGACGGTGATCATGATTCTGAAAGTGGAACTTCAGATGATAGAAGTTCTGAAGGTGATCCAATTTCTGAAGATAGTGGTTCTGAACGAGGTCTAGAAGCTAACAAACATGAAGCTTCTGGTGGTAGTCAAACTTCTGAAGAAAGTCCAGAAGGAGATATTGTTCCAAAATCAAAAGGAGATTCTGAACAAGTTCAGAGGCCACATAGAGTCGGAAAAATATCAAGGAGATTTGCAGAGTTTGACAAGCTACAAGATACTGAAGACTCTGAGGTATGGAGTGTTAATTCCCTTCTGGTGTTAGATCAGATGCAGAGCTGATATGTTATTTTGACTCTGATTTGTATGAAGACAGAGTTGACAGAAGAAATAGTTATGGATATTTTTGATTATATCTGGAAAGTCCTATTTCTTGGTGCTCTAAGAAGCAACTGATGGTTGTATTGTCAATTTGTGAAGCTCTCAAGAAAAAAGTGTGGTTGAAGGTCATGAAAGAATAGCTTGATGTTATTGAAAGAAACAAGACTTGAGAGTTAACTGAGTTTTCGAAGGAGAAGAAAAACATCAGCGTCAGATGGGTTCTCATGGAGAAATCTGCACTTATAAATAAAGTATTAGAAGTTACACACTGTTGCAACTAGAAGCAACTTACAGATGTTCTGACGAAGGATGTCAAGACTGGACACTTTATTCGTTTGAGGAATGAAATTGGTATTGAAGCGTTTTGGTTAGCTGAATATGAATTAATGGATGGTGTTAGAAGTAATTCATATTTAGAAGATGTTGTTGCTCACAAGCAGTTGAGCTTCTGAGGTTGTTAGCCAGAAGCTGTAAGCTTCCGAGACTGCTTAGTTAGAACCAATTGTTTGATATATTAAAAAGTTGTTGTTAGTTAGAAACATAAGCTTCTGAGGTTACGTTCAGAAGTATGATCAGCTCAGCTTCTGAGTTCTGAGTTTGTTAACGTAGCTGTTAAGTTTAGTATTTCCTAATTTATATCTTTTAACTTAGTCATTAAATTTATCTTTTATGACCAACGTGACAATTAACTTTGTGTATAAATAGACTAATAGTATCAATTATTTATTTCATTCTTTTTGTAAACTTTTTAACAGTGGTTGCAAATTCTCTCTTACATTTAATCTTGTACGGCAACATGAATATCTACACGTGTCTAAGGCGCAAGATAGCTTTTTTGCTGCGCCCATATATTTGTTGAATGAGAGAAGAGAGAGAAATAGGTTGTCTTAATCATCATCATCCTAATTATCATCATCTTAATTATCATAAAAAAAATCAGAAACAAAAACCTAGTATTGTACTATGAGAGAATCATAAGACTTTGGTTTTGTTTCTTTTACTTAAACACGACAACAACAATCCAACTCCTTCTCTTGTTTCGATTCCATTGCCGTTTATAGGTAAGTTCTTCTGCCCGCTTCATTTTTCACATCACCAGTTTTTTTATTTTTTTTATTTGACTATATTATTACTAGCAATTTAAGCTTTTATCTCTTTAAATTTCAGTTTTTTTTAGTTTGTTTTTCAATCTAGGACTTTGTTTTTGATTGGGTGGCCTTAATTAAGCCCATTGAGATGTTGGTATTTTCTGGTTAGGTCTTTGAATGCGTTGATTTTCATTATTAATATCAACCTATAGACATGTATATGTGTTAGTTAGTTCATGAGTATATGCGTTGTTCATTACTTCAGACACGACTCTGACACGATACTGACACGTTGACACTACTAATTATGAAACATAGACTCTGACATGACACAGACACCTTGACACTGCTCATGTTAAAAAACATAGGACACGGACAAACAAACCTGTTTTTTATATTGAAATCAGGATTCACTTGAAGCCTCAAGAGCTATGCATTCTTCATCTTCACCTGTTTTTCCCACTCTTATGGAAAGCGCGTACATGAAACCCTCGGATTCTTTTCATCGTTCGCTTGTTGGTGGTTTGACTGCAAATCCTGCATTGCTGCAAGCTACACCATCAAATCCGATCAGAAGTGATAGACAGGCGTTTTCGGCTTCGCCCGCTGCTGAATGTCCTGACGGCGTCCCCTTTTCTTCTGATACACAGCATGATAAGCAATATCAAGATTCTCCCTTCACTTCTCAGACGTTAGGTGACGATGTGTCTTCGGAAATCCACTCAACAACATTCACTTCTCATCCTCAAGAAAATGATGATATTTCATGGGGACCAGATCCGATGCAGGATATTGTTTGTTTTCCTGAAATTTTTTCTGTCCAGCATGATCAGGTGGAAAACAGTGCTTCTTACATGAACGATGGCAATGTCAAAAAATCTGATTTCGGGGAGTGGGTTGACCAGCTAATGACAATTGATGATACTCCTCATCCAAATTGGAGTCAGCTTCTTGGTGATGACAATGTTGCTGAACCAACGCCGAAGGTTTATTTCTCAATGTTGCTGCTAACAGTTTAAATTCTAATTTTGTTGTGAGCATTAACGTTTTGTACAAGTTGCATAAACATATCCTACTTTTTGATGTAGGCAACACAGGTTTCTCTGAAGCAGCATATACCGGCTATAGAAGTTAATGATCTTTGTAATTCAGCTTCAGCATCGACTGCACCTCAAACTAAGCCTAGAATGCGATGGAGTCCAGAACTTCACGAGGCTTTTGTGGAAGCAGTCAGCCAGCTTGGTGGTAGTGACAGTATGTTTACTTCTTCCCAATCTCATCCTTCTTGTCGTTCTCTCTGGAATGTTTCTTGTCATCGTCTTGTGATGTTTACATGCAGAGGCCACTCCGAAAGGTGTCTTGAATCTGATGAACGTTGACGGCCTTACTATCTACCATGTAAAAAGCCACCTGCAGGTACACATATCTTTTCTCACCCTCTTAAATAAGCCCGTTGTTGGTGTGTAAGTCGAATTCTTAATCTAATGTTGTTTGCAAATTACTCGTTCTTTTAATTTCAGAAGTATAGAACTGCCCGATACAAACCTGAGTCGCCAGAAGGTATATATCTCCATTGTTCATACGACAGGTTTTTCTACCAAGTATTTTTTTGCGTGTGTGCCTTCTTTACCTCCTAAAGTTTCTAGCAAAGTGTTTCATTTCAATTTCAAATACCTTTTCTGTATGCATTTTTCTTCTTTGTATCTTATGTTGGGATTAATAAAAAGACATGGAGGAAACACGAAAGACCATTCCTTTCTAATTATGTCAAAATTTAAGATTCAGAATGTAAATGATGACTGAGATCTTCTGTACCTGCAGAAACTTCTGAGAAAAAGATGAGTACAATCGAAGAAATGAAATCTCTAGACTTGAAAACGTGAGTCGTTTTCTAACTTCTTTAGCTTTCTCGATGATACTTATTATGCACATTTCCATCTTACACAATTGTTCCGCAAGATTTTTTTTACCTTGGAATGAACAAGATTGCTCATAAACTTGCCTTGAACTATGGTTGCAGGAGTAAGGGCATCACCGAAGCATTGCGGTTGCAGATGGACCTCCAGAAACGGCTTCACGAACAGCTTGAGGTACATTATTATTCACCAAACACCAATGAACTTTCATGGTTTGGCATGTTCTGATGTTGTATATCTGTTATTCAGATTCAAAGAAAGTTGCAGATTCAAATTGAAAACCAAGGGAAACATCTTCAGATGATGTTTGAGAAACAGAAACAGATAGGTGGCAGCAAGGGCTCGTCCCCTTCTAACGCGCCTTCTGCTGCACTCTTGGACACTGGGGTAACCTCTCCTGTAGACAAATTGAAAACGTCTGGAAAATTAAAATGCAACACCAAAGAAAGTTCTGAGGATGCAACACATGAAGCCGAAGTTACCGATGAACATGAGAATACAGATGATCAGTTTTCTGCCGTACCCCCAACAAAACGGGCGAAGATTCAATGATAGCTTCTAGAATTTTATGCTCGAATTTCCGATTCTGCTGCTTATCATAATGATATACTCAACTTTAACAGTAGCTAACAATGACTAAGTTCATTTTTTGGGATGAAATTAATTTCACTCCCTAGATTTGTTTTTTTTTTTGTTATTGAACATGTTTAGACTCCATGGATCTTGTAGATATATTATTGGATCCGAGAATGTTTTAGCTAATGTGGTTTTTATGTTTTATAAGGTTGTTTTTCTCCTAGCCAAGTTGATCAATTTATCTACTGTACTTGAGGGTTTCCTATTTTTTTCTTAAATGTTTTCAGGTTGTAATTACATGTAATTTATCTTGTTTTTATTGTAAGATCTTTTTCAGATAAATATAAATCTGTTATGAACTAAAGAGAAAGAGCCAAAAGCTAGAGAGAAAGTCTATAATCTTTTTATTATGTTATTAACAAATGTGTCTATACACTATAATGTGAGTTTTATTTATGAAGTTTCTCAGCCAAACTTCTTTAGTATTTCATGAAGAAAGACAAAATTTTGTATTGTCCAATAGTTTCTTTCAAAATCAGAGGTTTGCATTCTTCATTTCAAGGGTTCTACTGTTGTCCTAATGACAAGGATGAGAGCAAGAGTGTTTTCTTGTATGGTGTCTCATCTTAGGGTGGTACATTTATGTAATGATGAACAGAAAAGTGCAATACAAAAAATTACTGAGAGTGATCATGGTTTGTTTATGACTTTGGAGGAGTCTTTAAGGGTGGTCGAGCAATAAAAAGGTGGAAGGTGTATGAGTATTCATGCCATGAGTCGGACATGTCATCACCTTGATGATTTGGATCGTGTTTCTCATGGGACATGGGAGATTGGGAGTCACATCATAGATATTTCAGAACCATCTACAACTAGGCATGACAACATAATTTATATCCGCGGGTACTGACCCAAACTCGTCCCAAATTTGACGGGAAAATCCACTTTGATTGGATTTGGATTCGAGTTTGAATTTTCCCTAATTACAAAATATGGGGACGAGTCGGGTAATGAGGACACTAGTACCCACCCCGGACCCGCCCCATTTATTTTATTATGTACTTTATTATTTAGTTTGGATAATTTAAAATATTAAATATGTTGTCAATGTTTCGATATTTTGATTTGTATTTATTATTTAAAGGCTTAAATAGTCATCTGGTCCCTGTAAGTTGGCGTGTTTTTCAATTTGGTCCATGATTCTTTTTTAGTTTAGATTGCATTCTGATATGCTTCAATCTCGTAATTTTAAGTGTCTGACGTCAAACTGCTGTTAAAAAACGCGGATGTGTTTAATGGAGCTGAGTTGAAATTTTTTAGTTTTATATTTATCGAATTAGGAGAGACTAAGAGACATTTAGGTTAAACCGTGAGTTTTTGAAAAGAACTACGAAGACTTTATTATATATAGAGAGATTACAATTAATTACCTGATATAATCTATGTGGGACTATTCTATATACAAATATTGTTAACACTATATATTTACAAATATCAACACTCTCCATCAAGCTGGAGCATATAAGCTAAATGTCACAAGCTTGCCACATATATAATTAGTTATGGGACTTCGCAGAAATTTTGTAAACACATTTTCCAATTAATCATTAGAGTTGACAAAGCTTGTGACGATGTGGCCAAATTCAATCTTCTTTAAGTGATAGTCTATCTCAATATGTTTGGTTCTCTTATGGAAAACTGGATTTGAAGCAACGTGCAATGCAACAATGCAGCTTGATTATCACATACAAGTGTCATTGGTCTTGCTTCTTCACTTTGAAGTTCTTTGAGCAACTGTTTTAACCAAATGCGTTTACATGTCGTCATTGTCATGACCTTATACTCTGCCTCGGCGCTTGATCTTGCAACTACATTTTATTTCTTACTTTTCCAAGATATAAGATTTCCTTCAACAAGTACACAATACCCAAAGGTGGATCTTCTATCAATTGGTGACCTTGCCCAATTAGTATCCGAGTATCCAACTATCTGAGTATATCCTTTATCTTCATACACTAAACCTTTTCTGGAGCATATTTGATGTATCTCAGAATTCAGATAACAACATCTATGTGTTCTTGGCAAGGGGAATTTAAGAATTGGTTTATCACATTGACTGCAAAAGAAATGTCTAGACGAGTGTCTGTGAGATAATTCAACTTTCCAACCAATCTCCTATACCTTCCCGAGTCTAATAGAGGCTCCCTCTGATTGGGTAGTAATTTGACACTTGAATACAAAGGAGTATCAGTTGGTTTAGCGTTCAACAAACTTGTTTCTTCCAAAATATCCATAGCATATTTCAACTGAGAAATCAACAAACCATCTTTAGGTTGGGCTACCTCAATACCCAAGAAATACCAGAGTTTACTAAGATCTTTTGTCTGGAATTGATTCAAGAGATGTTTTAACTGGAATATTCTTTGCTCATCACTACTAGTTATTACAATATCATCTACATGCATAATAAGATAAATACACCCTTGAGCTGAATGAGGACAAAAGACATAATGGTCAACTTCACTACAGACTATACCAAATTGTTGTACTACAGTGCTAAATTTGCCAAACCAAGCTCTCAGAGATTGCTTAAGACTATAAAGAGACTTATGTAGCCTACAAACCATATTTGATGACTCCTCCTGAGAAACAAACCTAGGTGGTTGCTCCATATATACTTTCTCTTCAATATCACCATGTAAAAATGCATTTTTGATGTCAAGTTGGTGAAGAGGCCAATGTCGAATGGCTGCAATGGCTAGAAGAAGTCTAACAAATACCATCTTGGCTACAGGCGAGAATGTATCACTATAATCCAACTCAAAAATATGAGTGTATCCTTTGGATACCAAACGAGCTTTAAATTGATAAATCTTACCATTTGGACTAACTTTCACTGTATAAAGCCAATTAAAACCTACTAAATATTTTTCAGGGGGTATAGGAACCAGTTCCCAAGTACTACTGCTTTGAGTAGCACACATTTCATCAATCATTGTCTTCCTCCACTCAAGGTGAGATAATGCTTCACCTAAAGTGTTAGGGATAGAAATAGAAGACAAAGAAGACAAACAAGTATACTGCAAAGGGGAAAGATGGTGAAAGCATAAATCAGTATAATGTGGAGAAGGATTTCATGTTTCACGTATACCTTTTCGAAGAGCAATCGGAAGATTGGACTCAAGTTGCAGGATCAGATCTGATGATGGCGAGAGCGTCGAAGGAGAGTCTGCAATGACCTCAAGGACATGTGTCATACCCCAAATTTGCCTTATGAGTTTCTAAAAATAATTCCTCATTAATGTTATTCTTTTATTGTTGACAAACTATTGGGAGGTGTAAGTTGACAAAAGGGGAATGTGTTTAACAAAAGAGATCATGGGCCTTCTAAATCAGAAAGGCTCATGTAAGGTTGATAATCTACTTAAGGGTTTATACAAGTAAAAGAGAGGGGTGTGTTTTAATAAAGGGTTCATGGTTTTTTTTAAATCAGGAAAAAATCGTATAATTTTTTTAGGCCCATTAAGAATTGTTTTGAGACATAGGCCCATCAAGGTTTAAAGTTTGCTAATTAATGGAGAGGGGTGTATTATCTTAAATGGACCATCAAAATCTGATGGCCCGTCAAGACAATTTTGTTGGCCTGGTCCAAGATAGAAAGGAGTGACGTTTTGGGTCATCAAAATATGATGGCCCATATAGGAGTTGATGTGTTTTGACAAAGGGAGGGTGTGTTTTGAAGGGACCAATAACTGAACAATATTGGCCCAGTCTGGAATTTTTGAGGACTTATATTGTTTTATTATTATTTAGTAAACATTATTTTTTATCTATTTATATTATTAATACTTATTTTATTATTATTACTATAATTACTGTTGTTCATTTTAAAAAATTATATTTTAGTTTTTATTGACCCAAGTCAACGTGGCGAGGGAAACCATAATTTGCACCACTATTTTTATTATTTACTAAGACAACCTCTTCAAGCCCAGAAACCAAACCTAATAAATGCACAGTGCACAGATTCAACAAAGAAAAATGCATCTGAGACTAAAACGAAACAAGATCTTCATAAAATCAAATCTTGGATTAAATCAGATCTGAAAATAAATATTCATGTTTATTCACTAAAAACGAACTTATACAATAACAAGTCCAAATACTGATTACAAGACCCAAATTACACAAAAAATTTCTAAATCAATCAATAAATCAAATCGAGTCCCTAAAAACAAAATAAAATCTGCTAATTCCTAACAAGATTACAAAAGTAACAATAATCATAAAACATTTTCCTAATCTATCTAAAACCTAAACTATAAATAGAACCTATGAAAATTCTAAGAAAAGGGGGATGTTGTACCCCAAAGTTTTCTCTCTCTTTTCTCAAGGAATTTCTCACAAGGATTCTTAAAAATCCAAGTTTGCACAAGTACAATTGGATTTTCCAGCATCAAGTTAAAGAGGAAATTGTTAAAAAAGGGCGAAGCAGATAAAAATAATCTTTTTGACAAAATTGGAGAAAAAACAAGTTTACTTCGATTCACAAGGATTCAATTGGACTTTGGTCTCCTTCAAGCCTTCTTCGATTCCCCTTACTTCGTTTGGACTTTAGTCTCTTTCAAGACTGCTTCGATTGGACTTTGGTCTCCTTCATGCTTCCTTCGATCCATAAGACAATAGCATCCTTTGTGCCTCCTTCGATCCATAAGGAAACTCCTTCCTTCTGCATGCCTCGATTCACAAGGAAAAAGGTTTCCTTCTAAACAACTAGCTTCAATCCACAGGGCAGGAAACACCTATCTTCAACTAGCTTCGACTGGGCATGTGAAACAGCCTCCTTCAATTCAAAAAGGGAAGGGCCTCATGTTGGTGTCCTTTGATTAAGAAGGTAGTAGCTTTATACTGGCTTCCTTGGATTCAGAAGAAAATGACCTTCTGAAAGCTTCATTCGATTCAGAAGGCATTGGCCT